AAAAACTAGCTTTATGCAAACTCATAACCATAGAGCCTCCACCAGCCGTATATGCATGTAGCGATAGCTGTTATTTGTTCATTTCTCTATAGTGTTATCTTGCCAGCATATTCCATGTGCTGACCTACACAGGATGGAACATATTATGTTGCAGAATTTTCAGACGAAGAGTAAGGTGCACTAGGTCGTTGTCATGCACTCAGTTTTGTCGTGGAGTTGGATGGACTCTTCTACCTTCGAAGCTTCCGCTGTCATCTTATTTAGATGGCCTTCAGCCATATTATTGTAATAAGTTCTCTTTTGAGGCATTCGATATAATAAGTGTGTGATTGAACTCTGTTATAAATCCTCGAGTATTGTGTGTGTCAGCAATACCGATCCAGGGATGACACGTAATCACAGAGACTTGACTGTCCGAGGTCGCGGCGCTACAGACCACCATGAGATATTGATAGTTGTTTAGTATTGGCACCAGACCTATTAGCTAAGAAGACCCAATCACAGGAGGACCGTACCAAGATAAAAGGACAGAAGAATTGAGGAAAAGGTTATGCCACTACCGGAAGAGCGAGAGTAGGAATTTTCCCGAGAATCTGAGCAGATCGACACTACCAACAATAAGGATGTACGACCTGAGTTTTGGTGGAACTGTAACCATGCTTCTAAGGGTGGTAGCACCCCAGACCCCCTGTGATGATCGATGTATTTTGAGGAGACCCCCCGAACCTAACCTATTTCTTTCTAGCCTCTTCGAATCTCGAGGGCGAGATTCATTTTATGGGTGGTAGGTTTGTAACATCCCAAAATTCTAAATTTGGGAATGTTATATTAAATAAATAGTTTTGATTGATTGATTGATTGTGGTGTGGTTGCTTGTGTGAAACTGAGTGAAATTTGAAACTTTCTGAAAGTTAAATGAGAGGGAATAAAAGGACTTTCCCAAAACTTTCACCTTGCATTTATGATCTCCATGAATTCAAATTCATTTCATCACAAAACCCTAGAGAGAAGATTATTTGAATTCTTCCATTTAATTAAAGGAAAAAGGGTTTTTTGAAAATATTTGAATTGCATTTGGAAATATTCCAAATTCAGAAACTTTATGCAACTCAATGAGTTTCATGAGAGAAGATAAAATGACTTCTTCAAATGCTAAGAAAGAGAGTTGGAAGTTTCAAAGAATCAAATTGAAAGTCCTTTGAAGTTATTTTGAAACTCATTTTTAATTCAGAGATATTTGGTTCTTATTCAAATTATTTCTCTCCAAAAATAAAATATATGGAAAATAGGGTAAAATGATTCCCAACAATAGAAAAATGGAGAGAAATAAATTTGAAATTATTTTGGTATTAAAAAAATATTTTTATTTGATTTTTAATTAAACCACTAGTACTGTTTGCTTTATTTAATTTTTTGTGGAATTTATTTTCCCTTGTAAAATAGTTCATGTTTTAGAAAATCTTTTTCTGAAAATATTGGTATATAATATGCTATATGTAATTTTTATTATTTTGTTATTTATTTTTATTTTTGTTGTCTGAGTTAAAAAAAGTTTGGACTGACCGAACTAGGCCGCGCCCAGCCCAGCTGGCCCAGCAAGCCCGCCCGTTCGTCTCCGCGCTCAGGATGAAGTCCTGAGCGTGCCCGACACCGTTGTCGCACCCGTGGCTGCGCCGGACTCCCGCCGCCGCCTTTGCCTTGCTCCTCCTCCACGCCACCCCGCCCCTCCTCCTATAAATGCCCGAGCCCCGGCCCTATTTTCCCCATCAAATCACGCCACCACCGCCCACTACACCATGTAGAACCTCGCCGGAGTTGCGAGCTCCACCGAGCCCCACCTTCGTTACCCCGCTCCGCTCTGTCGCCCTCGACCTCCGCCGACGCCGCCATCACCTTCGCCTCGTCAAGCCGCGCCTCCCCATCTACTCCGTCGGCGCCGCCGAGCCCCGGAGTTGCCGTCCTGTTCGAGCCGAGCCGCAGCCGTCCTCCTCGCCGCCGACGCCGTCAACCGCCGCGGTAACTGTCGCCCCACCCCGCCCGTCCGATCTGGATAGGGTGATCCAGATCGATTTGTTTTTTCCTAAACGTTTTGTTTTATGTAGTGGACGTTTGCTAGTTTAGCCTCTGTAGCGAACGAATTCGCCGGTTTAGGTTCTCTAGCGAACGTTCGTCTGGTAGATTTATTCTTTTTCTTTTATTTTCTGCCAGTGACCTATTCGCTAGTTTTGTTTTACAGACCAGTCCTTGTTTTTCAAACTAGCACATCTTTTAAACCGTTTATCCAATTTCAACGAAACCAACGCCCACTTCTTCGTTATGATCCCCTCTATCCAGTAAACCAACTTAAATATATTTTTGAAAGTGTTAAAATTTGGTTTCAAACACATTTGAATTCAAACTTGCTTTGGCTATAGTTTGAGTTGTATAACTCTGATTTAATTGATTCTTTTTGCAAATCAAAGCTCTTGGCATGTACTTTCTGTTAAGATCAAAATCACACAATTTTCCTGCTGTTAAAAATATGTTTTTGTCCAAAATCTTTATTTGATGATTTTTGAAATTTTCCGAAGTGTTTTCTTTGTTCTTTTGGATCTTTTGCGTGATTGCTTATGTGTGGTTATAATTGCTTGCTCATGATAGATTGATCAGAGTGTGACAAGTAGAATTATTAGGAATTATGAGTGCGAAGAATCTTCATCAACAGTACAAGGCAAGTTACACTTTGCCCTTTATTACCCAGTTTTTATGCATTAGTTACACCCTCAAACATTGCATGAGTAGGATTATGAACATGTGGTTACTGTTATGTAGATGATGAGGTAGGAACCTAATACCTTTGATCACCCCGGGAATATACGTTATGCTCATATTGCTTAGCCATGCTCATAGACGGGGATTGGTATGTGAGAATCATGCAAGTTGTGAGAGTTAATAACTAAGGGAAACTTAAGGTGGCTACTTTCATACACATCTGGGTGGATTGGTTGTGGGCACCAGGGGAATCCAGTGTTGGCCTAGGAGATCCTGAGGTATCCATGTGATCATCCTATGGAATGCCACCCAGGCTCAAAGGGATTATAAGATTATTCATGCTTAGAAACTTCCGTGTGCAGCCACAAGCCATTATGGGCTCTGGCATAGTTGAGTAAGTTATGGGCTCTGGCATTATTTGATGATGATGAAGTTACCAGCATATAGGGCTTCGCCTAAGCACTACGACGATATGACCGAGGTGTGTATCTATGGAGGGGCGCACCGCACACGGCTAAAACAATTGTCAACTTGTGTGTTCTAGGGTGCCCCCTGCCCTCATATGTAAAGGAGCAAGGGGTGAGGCTAGCTGGCCCTCATGGGGTGCGCACCCAAGTAGGATTCCTACTAGGAATAGGAATCCTATTCCTAGTAGGTTTCCCACGAGGGAAGAGAGGGGGAAGGAAGGAGAGGGAGAGAGGGAGAAGGAAAGGGAGGGGGAGACGCCCCCTCCCAGTCCAATTCGGACTCCTCAAGGGAGGGGGCATCCCTAGGGCCCTCTCCTCTCTC